AGCAGAACTTGGCATTTTTGGCTGCATAGTTCTGACTTAAGTGTCAAGGATAGACTAAGGAAAGTCCTGAGGCTACCTGTGTGTCAGGGGTGTCCCTGCATGCAGGCCTATGAGAGGTCATTGTGTGAAGCTGTAGAGGTGTTGCCTGAATTGCTTTGGAGAACTCAAAATGTTGTAGATGCCAGAGCTGTTGGGTATCTGCCAAAGAGAACTGCTACCCAGGAGTGGAACCAGCCCAAGAGAAAGAAGTATGTTGAAGTTAACAAAGCTGACAGGGATTGGAGATCTGAATAGTACTTTGACATCTGACATGGAGGTGCAGAGTTTAGAGTTTGCCAAACTGATTTTTCAGTCTTTATGCCCTTTTTTAGAATTATAATGTGTATCCTGTGCTACTGTGTGTTGGAAGTGTGTGGTCTGGTTTTTTATTTTGAATTTTTTATGGAGGGTTACAGCTAAGAGATTGCCATGAGTCTCAGAAGAGACTTTGGACTTTGGATTTATACCAGGTTGAGACTGTTATAGACTATGGGGACTTTTAAAGTTGGACTCAATGCGTTTCTACATCATGATACACTTACAAATCTATGGGGCCCAGGGAGTGGAATGTGGTGGTTTAAAAGAAAATAGGTTCTTAGGGTGTGCCACTATTAGGAGGTGTGGCCTTGTTGGAGTAGGTGTGGTGTTGTTGGAGGAAGTTTGTCACTGGGGGTGGGATTTGAGGTCTCAGATGCTCAAGCCAGGCAAAGTATGGCACTGTCTTCCTGCTGCTGATTCAGATGTAGACCTCTCCCCTCCTTCTCCAACACCATGTCTTTCTGCCTGCCACCACACTTCCTGCCATTCTGTGTTCCTTTTTTAATTGTTGCTGCCTTTAAAGCTACAGATGTCATATTCAGCAACTGCCACTCAGCTGATACCAGCAGCATCTAGGCCTAAAGAGCTGAAGCTGAGGGAATTCCCTCAGGCACCAACTCTTTCAAAGCTACTAAGGAAACTTACTTAAATTTGTGTCCCATTAAAGACCTCAAGATTCAAAGGTTGAGGTAGAATCTTGCCTCCCAGAGACATTGAACAGCAAGCTGCTCATCTCTTCAAGTCTCCAAGAAGTCCTTGTGTTTTTTCTCACCCCTCCTTATAAACCCATCTCCACCTGGCTCCTCCCAACAACTTGCTGTCTGTTAGTTGTTGACCCAGTCTCCTGACTGCAGGTGAATCTTATTTAACTAAACACATCTTTGCATCGTTAAACAAATGTACCAAAGCATAAACAAAAGTAACACATCTTCAAATAATAATCTACAACATTGCCATGAAAATGGACTAAACCTCTGAACTGTAAGCCAGGTCCAGTTTTCCTTTGTAAGAGTTTCCATGGTGATGCTATCTCTTCACAGCCAGAGAAACCCTAACTAAGACAGAAGACAAAGGCCTAGTGAAGAGGTGGACACTGGAAGAAACACATATTCTTCCCCTCCAAGAACAGTGTGTAACCTGATCACTCCTAGGACCCTTGCCATTTGGATCAGATCAGGAATGCTGTCATTTAACTTGAGTTTCACCCTCAATTGTGAGAAATGGATGTTTACCACCACGTGTCACCTTTGAAAAGCATCAGCTCTAACTCTTTTACATCACCCATATTTGAGTGAACGTATTAGAGGGTGACTCACCCATTCTCGTCTATGACAGGTGAAGCCACACTAATTCATTTAAGATGAGCCTCAATTTCCCACTAGTTCATGCCATCGAATGAGAGCCCAAGGTGACATTAAATGCATTTTAAATTCTGTGAGGGGGGCTAGAGAAATGGCTCAGTAGTTATGAACAATTGTCACTCTTGCAGAGGACTGTGGTTTGATTCCCAGCACAGAGATGGTGCCTCACGACTGCCTGTAACTCGATTCCAGTAGAATTGACATCCTCTTCTGCAGGCACCAGGCAGGCATGTGATGCACACACATAGATGGGGGCAAAATACTCATACACATAAAATGAAACAAGTAAATCTTTTAAACTCTGTGGTTGTATTTACACTGAAAATTTGTATACATGATACATAGACCAATGAATAGTATCCATGTATAAAAATATTGTGAAAATTCTCATAGATATCTTTGTGAAACAAAATAATTTTAACCACTATATATAACTGGAGAGAATTGCAGAATTCCCACAGTATCTTCGGTTTTTACTTCAGTTGGTTTTGAGAAGAATGTGCAGAGCCTTGAGGCTCCTCCATATCCTGAGAGTTGATGGTATTCTCCCTACGAATTACCCTTAATAATGCAGAAACTAGAAATGCATTTATAAAGGAGTCATTCAGCCTCATGGCAAAAAACAGAAGAAACTAACAATTGTTGTGTGTTTGTACATTTGATCTGATTGCTTGTTTTCAGGCATAGTCATCAGAGTGAGTTTTGAGGATCACGGGACACAGTGTACAGTCAGTGAACACTGCATGAGCATGACAAGTAAAGGCTCAATTTATGTGACAATGCAGAAGAAGAGATACTTGAATGAACATATTGTGTGAGTCTGGTACCTTCTGAGAGCCACTTGGACACAGTGACATTCCCACAATGCCTCTATTCACCACCTGCTCACTAGGACACTAAGAATTTCCTAAGGACTACCCATGAGAATCACTAAGCTAAAACAGATCTTTGTATTGTATACTGCAAGAGAAAGCACAGGCATCACAGAAGTGTCCTGTTTGGTCTGCAAGATGCCAGAGGACCCCAGGCACATAGGAGAATCTGAATCCAGAGCAAATTATGCATTCTCTCCAGACCGCTGGAGAATGGTTTTTTACTCTTCCTTCCTTGACTATCCCCTGTATAAGACATATCATGGACAACGAATGGTAGCCTAAAAGGAGGCACAAAGCTAAGAAGCTGTGAGAACTTGTGACTTTTCATACAACGGACCTGTAACATCTTCCCTGACAGAAACAACTGAAGGGAGACATGCTGTAATCTGAAATTCCTGTTTCAAAGTATGAGTTTTCTCCAAAAGCAGCTGTAGGATTCCTGAATAGTAAATATATCCTTCCTCTATCAACCTCAACTTGTCCACTGCCTCTCAGCTACTGAGTCTGAACCTCAGGGAACAAAACTGGGTGGGTACCAATGCTAGCAGATGTTCCATGATGACTCAGGCTCCAAGCCAATCTAAACCAAGTTGTCATGTGAAGGTTGGGGAAAAAGTTCTTTTAATCTGGCCAAACCTGGTAAATCCTCAACAGGAAGAGACTGGAAAAGCAGCTTGTTGTCATAGTACATGACAAATGCCTCTGAAACTGTGTGGACAGCCTGAACTAAGTCTAGCTAAGAGAATGGTAATCTACACTAACGTGAACACATCCCCCTTCAGTGTGTGTGTGTGTGTGTGTGTGTGTGTGTGTGTGTGTGTGTGTGTGTGTGTGTGTGTGTGTGAGAGAGAGAGAGAGAGAGACAGAGAGAGAGATAGAGAAAGAGGGAGAGAGACAGAGAGAGAGAGACAGAGAGAGAGAGAGAGAGAGAGAGAGAGAGAGAGAGAGAGAGAGAGAGAGAGAGAGAGAGAGAGAGAGAGAGATTGTTCACTCTTTCCTCATGAAAGTTCTGATCTTCAAAATCTTCTTCCATACATGGAAGGGTCAACTGACAACATCCTACTCCCCATCTTTTGTTTTCTTTTCCCTTTTCAGAGAAAAGATCCATAGCCCATGGTGGTCTGGATGTCATTATGTAGAAACAGATGACTTGAACATCTTATTCACAATGCAGAATCAAAACCAAGGCCTTAGAAATGGTGGATTCATAATGAACCAACTGAACCACATCTCCCTCAAAAACTAGCTCTTCTTTGCCAAAGCCTTCTATAGTACATGTCTGAACACATAACAGAAATACACAAGAAGAATTTTCCCAAATAACAATGCCTTTCTTACTGCTACCTGCTGCCTATATAGATCCCCTGAGTGCTCGTCCTCATGGGCAGCATGGAGACTGACTATCAGTTAGCAGATGTCCTCTTGGAGCTTGGAGTCTAGCTCACATATAAAAACCTTTGCCTGCTGGACAGTAGTGGTGCACGTCTTTAATCCCAGCACTTGTGAGGTAGAGGCAGGAGGATCTCTGTGAGTTTAAGGCCAGCCTGGTCTACCAAGGGAGTTCTAGGACAGCCTCCAAAACAAAGCAGAGAAATCCTGTCTCGAAAAAACCAAAAAAAAAACCCAAAAACCTTTTGCCAGGCACTAAAGAGACCACACAGATGTTAACATCCCATGCTGTTTCTGTAGAGGACACTGGTCTTGTTCAGTTTCTACACAAATGCAGCTCACAGCTGTGTATTAATTCTTTTCCTGGGAATGTAACAGACTCTTTGACCTTATGCATGAAAAGCTTGAAAGTGTTGAACATATGTGTACATACACAGGGAAACTGTCTGTCTCCCATTCTCAGAATCTGTGATCTGACTAGAAGTTTGTGGGCTTTTCTACCTTTCATGCTTGTGAATGTCTATAGGTAGATGAAGAGCAATGTTATACTGTGGTAGTCATGACAAGGTTTTGATATCTAAAGTTTTGACCTATTGAAGGCAGATACTGGGACGTTGGAGCTTGGGGATTACCAAGTCCTTGGGCTACCATGTGTCTCTTGAAGAACCTATGTGTCCTGGTTTATTCTTCAGTGGAGTAGTACACAGTCAGATAAATGTACCACATATGATGGGCTTTGAACACCTATCCTGTGTTATTGGAATACCACTTGTCTTTGGGAAAAACAGATTTGGACAAGTCCTATGCACAATAAACTATAGGGATCATAGCTGAATCCAGTGAGTATAGAAAAATGGCCTTAGTTTTTGTTCTTAGGCATAATTTTTTTAGACCCAAAATCCAAATTCATCCCCATAGGTGGCTTAGATCCCAGTGATACATTATACATTGGGATACATAAGTGTTTATACAATTCATTTCTAAATGTGTCTTAAGAAAGAGATTCCATAATACATACTGCGCCTGCTATTTTTAGACTCCACCTGAAATGTAAAGGAAAGGAATCAGTCTGGGGCCTAGGTCATGGTGAGATTTGCTTTTTAGGGATCTTTGGAACACCTGTTGACATGATGTAATGCCAAATTGAGAGGAATCTTCAAGGGTAATACCATGTATTAGCATATTATATTACAGCATCACAGAAGAATTGGGGCTACTTTGTTGTAAGTTCCCATTTTTGCTGGTTCCAGTGCCAGATTAGGTAGCACTGTCTGTTTGGTCTCTGCTGAGTGTTTGGTAAGCCTCATTGCAATATGCTGGAGCATCTTTGTAACCTGACTGTGAGATTAATCTCTGCTACAATGTGGCCTCAATTATTCACACTACTCTTCATGCTTTAAAGTTCTTACCACTCAACATTCCCTCACTCAATGAACCAAACTTTCGTTGAACTCTGTAGAACACAGGGAAATCAAGGAAACCTGAAGTGCCTGCCTACTTCTGAATGAATATGATAAGTTTTTATCTAATAAAAAAAGGGACCTTTTCCTCCAGAAGAAAAGGCTGGGAACAGAGACTGTGATATTTTACACAGGATGCTTTGATGCTGTACTCAGGATGCCCCCCATCCATTTTGTTGCTCAGTGGGAATTCCTATCCACTGAAATGTACATCACCAAAGTAACCTTTCTGTCTTAGACAAGAAGTGCCCTTTACCTTCACTGATGTTTTTTCCTGGTTCTCTGGTGAAGACACATTGCCATCACGTTCAGGTAATTCTAGGGGGACAGAAAATGTCTGTCAACTCATGGAATTGCTTATGCAGCATCCTTGCTTGATGTGGGTAAAAGTGCATGGACTTAGTACATGTGACTAGATCTAATGGACAGGATGATGGGGTGGCTGCTGAAGGATCTTCCCTAGAAGGGAAATTAAACCACAGAAAGACATGGAGAAACAGGAGAAACAGAACATTTACAGACAAGGGGACCCAAAGCAACATGAAATAATCTACCTAATTGAAGATTAAATACAAATCTTCATACGTATTCTCTTTGGAGGCACCACTGATAATGCCTCAGTTTGCATACGAAGGTCAGAGGACAAATTGTGAGATTCCAAATAGTACGTGTACAGGACAACTCCTATATCTAAGACTCAGGAACATTTTGGTAGAGGAGTGGTAAGAGTATAAGAACCAGAGGGACAGGACATTTGCCGCTAGATAGTTTCTTCAAGACATAGCAGGGGTGATATAGCGAGTGAAATCTCACTATCGTTCCCCAAATAGGACCTGCATCATGACAGCCCCTATGATATGCCACCCTAGACCAAGAGCTACAGGCAATAAATGGTTGCAGAGAGGGGGAGAATTTATTTTCTC